TGTTGCCAGCAGGTGGTGCTATGACTGTGGGTGAATATCAGCATGTACATGTGTTCAGGGCGGGACTCTCATCCTACATGTACAGTTTGGTCCAGATGTGAGCATGTACACTGAAGCTACGACAACTTCCGTGTCATGGCGAAGAGTTGATCTTTGACGCCACGCCACGGACACACCCATTGACGAAAACTCGCAAATAGCACAACTTTTCATCTTCAATGCCTTTAGAAGGCACAGCACAAATTTGAAGTCGGTCGGACTAAATCCCTAGGAGGAGTTCGTTAAAGTACGAAGTGTGTAAATCATCCAAAATTTGACGTAAAATTCAAAATGGCCGACTTCCTGTTGGGTTTAGGCTATGGCTCCAAGAGACTTTTTTGTGCGTCTGGACAAGATACACGTACCACAGAAAATTCGTGCACGTAGGTGAAACATGCGGCGGGGGCTGCTTCGTTAAAGGTCACTTTCTATTCCCAGCAGGTGGCGCTATGACTGTGGGTGAATGTCGGCATGTACATGTGTTCAGGGCGGGACTCTCATCCTACATGTACAGTTTGGTCCAGATGTGAGCATGTACACTGAAGTTACAACAACTTCCTGTTTCATAGCGAATCATCGACGCCACGGACACGCCCATTGACGAAAACGCGCAAATAGCACAACTTTTCATCGTCAATGCCTTTCGAAGGCACAGCACAAATTTGACGTCGATCCGACTAAATCCCTAGGAGGAGTTCGTTAAAGTACGAAGTGTGTAAATCATCCAAAAATGGCCGTAAAATTCAAAATGGCCGACTTCCTGTTGACTTTAGGCTATGGGTTCTTGAGGCTTTTTTGTGCGTCTTGATATGATACATGTCCCCAGAAAATTTCGTACATGTAGGTTGAACGTGAACGAGGGGCTAATTTTTTCCAATTTTCTAGGTGGCGCTAGCGAGTCATTTTGCAACGCCCATGTGCGAAACTTGTAGAATACGAAATTTTTCACCGGTTCTGACATGTTTGCAAATTTTGGTGAGTTTTCGAGAATGTTTAGGCCATGTCATTTGAGCCTACTTTGCAGAAAAAAAAAAAAAAAAAAAAAAAAAAAAAAAAAAAAATAATCCGAGCAAATTCAATAGGGACCTCACACGGTCGTGCTCGGGCCCTAATAATCCGAGCAAATTCAATAGGGACCTCACACGGTCGTGCTCGGGCCCTAAAAACTACAGGGGAGGAGGAAAAGAAGGTCAAACGCAACAACATTGTGATTCCATACGTGTCTGGAGTATCAGAGAAACTCAGGAGGATTTTCAACAAACACAACATCCCTGTGTTTTTTAAACCCAAGAACACACTAAGGCAGATGCTGGTCCACCCCAAAGACCGCACACCCAAACACAAGAAAAGCAATCTAGTGTATGCGGTCCAATGCAGTGAGGAATGCACAGACCTGTATATTGGGGAGACTAAACAACCACGACACAAACGCATGGCTCAACACAGAAGGGCCAACTCCTCAGGTCAAGACTCTGCTGTCTACTTACATCTGAAGGACAGAGGACACTCGTTTGAGGACCACCAGGTGCACATTTTAGACAGAGAAGATGGATGGTTTGAAAGAGGTGTCAAGGAAGCATCTACACCAGGGTTGAGAAGCCGTCATTGAACAGGGGAGGGGGTCTACGCCACCACTTATCCCCCACTTACAATGCTGTCCTTTCATCACTTCCCAGGAAACTCAACAAACGTAACCTATTGGCCTCAGGTGAAGATACCAACGATGGTCGTTCAGTCTCGGCCTCAGGTAGTCTTAACGACTGTAACGACTGTTGTCACAGCAACAAGGAACACTAACGAACCAGCGGTATCGATGACCCGGGATAACGACCCCACTGATGTTAAATAGCTGAGTTTCCCTGCCAGTCAGTCAGAACTGAAGAAGTCCTTTGGATGAGGGACGAAACGTCTTCCAGTATCTTCAACCAAGTCCAGTTGCCCTTGATTTTAACCTTCGTTGGATGAAACAATAAAGCTGAACTCTTGATAAAGAACATCAGTCTAGGCTAAGTTGAAAAGATGTCATTTCACATAAAACGTTGAAAAGTAATTATGCAGTATATTTCTGTGTGCAGGAGTATTTTTACTTTCTACCTTATACTTTAAGATAAATAAGGAGCCATACACCCAGTACCCATATACTGTATAACAGAGCCTGAAGTTTCTGAAGAGGGCCTTGTTAGCTGCTCTGATATAAGTCTAGTTTAAACCCAGAATAATGTGGGCACATCCAAACCATCCTGTGGGTAAGTGCTGAAAAAAAAAAGATCTGCACAGAGTAATTATGAATCCAACTAGGTGGGTTTTTTTGTGACCTTGCAAACTGAGGTCTCAGAGCTGACCAAATGCACATGTAGTAAATAGGTGAGTCTATACAATGTAAACCACATGAGACCTTCTCAGAGGTCGCAATGACACCTCCTACAGGGCTTCAAAACTATTCAGTGTGCAGATAATTCTTTGATTTTCACTACAGAGTAACTTCTTAGTCAATTTCACATTTGTTTCTTAAAGAAATGTCATCTTAATATGACATTTCATGACACAATCTTAATATTTTAATTTACAGCTGTTAACTATAATATATTGTTAAGATCACACTATTTAAAATCAAAATATGAAACTGATGATGAATGAAGAATGATTTTACTATGTATAATTAGTTTGATACACTTTATAACAAAGTATTCTTAATACAAAAGCAATAGGTTAATAAATTAAACTCTTGTCTTGCATTGATGAAAACATCAATATTAAGAGGCTACAAATGTAAAAGTAGTTTTGTATAACTTGAAATGTGTTGAGTTATTATAATGATAGAATCTGTTGATAAGCACCCAGTGTCATAATTTCAAATCAGCAGTGTTCAGGTGTTGTGAGTAAAAAGAAAAGCGGGAGCTGAAGAGCTGGAAGCTGGAGCTGTTCTCTCCTGAAGAGCTGGACACAGCTAATCACATCTTGTGGGTTCTGCAATCAGCTCCTCTGGCACCTGTAAAGAGAACAATGGGTAGACAGTTGAGCAGCTTCTTCCAAAGAGCCATAAAGCTACTAAACGCTGAGATCGCCTCAGCATGAAAACCTCTCTGGCATGTGACAGTAATTAGGGGAGGCAATGTGAAATACACTTTTTACTAATATGTCCAATATACGGTTTTCTGCTGGACACTGTGCAACAATAACTACTCAAGTCAGATCTGAGGTAAATTCTAACCCACCAAACAAACTCAGAAGCGGCTCTCACACACCTAATTTCTCGCCTTAACTAAACCATCGCCCCAGTTACAGCCCAGCTACCTGTCTACAGGCATAACGCGCATTATATGCTGACAAAAAAGGTGGATGCAAATCTCTGCAGGTAGTCTACAACAGCTGTTCTGCATCCACCTCTTAAGATCCTTATCAGAAACATCGCTGATCAAACGCAGTTATCACCTCAGACTGTTGAATCTCAAAGAATGCTACGTCTACTAAGTGTATTAACATGTGGATTACTATAAATGTCCTTCAATATGTACTTCAATCATCCCCACTGATGAACCCTACAAAGAATAGTATAACGTTATCGTTTTTAAACAGTAACGTTACACTTGGAGGTGCACGACTCTCCTCGGGAGAGACAGCTAGCTCAAATAGTGGCATCGGTGCTCCTCGGTGTGACAGTTTCTCCGCAGCCGCTCCCCCCTCGGCTGCCTTTAAACCTTTCGTGTCCATCAGGATCAGGTGCAGCCACTTATAATAGTATCTGACTAGTATCTAACTGAACAGTGATTCTGTTACAGGACGTAGCTAAATCTCACATCGCCCGTTAGTAAAAGTTACCATTAACATAACGTCAGCTAACAGAGCTGAGCCTTTACTCACAACTTCACACAGACGCCTTTTCTCCAAAGCATTATCACCCTAATGTCTAATGCTAAAGTTATAACGTTATATTTTGGCTTCTCCCTTCTTGCTGACTTGTCTTTGACTCATTAAAAGCTGCGGTTAGAACACACTAACTTACTTACTTACACTAACTTAGCAGCTTGGAGCTGCTTGTATCTGGATAATTAGCGTAACAAGCTAACGTTAAGCTAACAAGCTATATATCGTCAGCTATACCTGTTAAATGTTAGCACATAAATAAAATACAGGAATTTCACTCACCAAGTAGAACACAAATTTCCTGGAGGTTCTCTCTCCAATGAACTGGACAGCCTGCCATTATTCATCCAGTGTGTGCATGTAGAAATGTCCAAAAAGGCTCCGACAGGCTGAGCGTCAGAGCTCCGTGTAGCTGAGTGAGGCTAACAGACGGCGGGCCGAGTGCTAGCAGTGACAGCGGCTAATGGCGCCTGTCAATCAAAGCAGCCACGCCCCTAATAATGCAGAACTTTAAGGCTTAATATAATTTAAACAGGTGAGTTGTCACAAAGGGCAAAATTAGCGATATGCACTAAGCCATTTTTTGAACCAGGCTGTAAACATGTTTTATTCTGCTCTAAAGTTGGCCATTTTAACATGGGGGTCAATGGAGATTGACTCGCTTCTGCAGCCAGCCTCAAGTGGCCACTCGATGAATTGCAGTTTCAGATGCTTCCGTATTGGCTTCAGGCGGGAGACCGGAAGTTTGCCGCTTGGTTACACTAGGCAGGGAAATATCTTGATATTGTTGCTGCTGGTCCAGCACAGCATTGTTGCAAGCATGTGGTGTTAATCCTGTATGATGGAGGATGTGTACAGGTGTTGATATTGTTCATAGGCTGTAACCTGTCAGCATAAATCCTGTATAAGATAAAGGTGTTTCCAACAAATAATACCCTGTAATTCAAAACCTTAATTGTACGCGTGTGTGTGTGTCTGTCTGTGGGGTGGGGGCCCTACATTACATTACATACATTGTGCCCATGGGCCTCTGACTTCTTAGTCCGGTCCTGACCTGGGTACATTACTGTCATAGATGATGTCACTGATGGGTTTACCTGAGCAGGTGAGATCCAGGATGGAGGAAGAGGAATGTGATGATACACAGTCCCTCAGAGCAGATCCAGACTGAACACAGTCAGACCTGATCCACCACACAGGTCTGTATGAGGACTCCTCTCTCTGTCCTACAGAAACAGCAGAGCCACAGTCCAGATCTCTACAGACAACAGCTGCTGTCTTCAGGGTCCAGACAAAGTAACTCCCTGGTCTCCAGTCTCCCTGATGTTTCAGCTCCAGTGTTCCTGCACAGCGACTGGCTCCTCCCACCAACCTGAAATCATCAGGCTCTGAACAGAAACCAGAGAGTCATCAGTAAAGAAGTGAATTCTAGAGACTTAACTGATTCTGCTTCTGTGATTCTTTCTTTCTCTTTTCTTTCTCTCTTTACCTTTTGAGGTGTGTCCTCCTTCAGCCTGGAGTCCTGTGATTGGAGCAAAGCCGAGGACAGAAAGAACAATCAGGTTGTTTTGTAAAGAACTTTCTATCAGTTCAGAAACATCTCAGTGAACTCCCTCTGGACTCATTTTACCAGTTTACTGTAGGTGAGATCAACATGTGATCACCATCCAGCAGACTGGTTTATATAGAGTTAAGGAAAAGTTAATCATGAATCAGGAATAACTCCTCAACCATTTGGCCTAGATGCATAATTCTATGAGAGGTCAGAAGCTAAGGAACATAAATCCATTGTAAATTAACATATTTATTTTAACATTACAGACTAAATTGAGATGCAATAAAGAAAAATATATTTTCATCCTCACCTGGTAAAGCTATATTTTTTATATAAATAATAAACTATCAAACCTATCATAAGATTATAATGCAACTGAATATCTTCTAAAACACCTGGAATACAATTGTAACTGTAAATTTAATAAATATAAATAAAATACAACAGTTATAATACAATATTTTCAAAATATACTTACATCTTGCCCATTGTGCCATCACCATTGCACCATAACAGGCGAATGTCCATATTTTGGAAATATTTACTGATTAAATGTTTACTTTTATTGGGAGTTATCTTTAAAACACTATTTCTGTCCATACAACCACGTTCCAAATAACATAACATTGAAATATTGATAAAAACAGTGAATATTCATCAACATTGCTGTCACCAAAAGCACACCATGCTTTACAGGCCTGTAGCTTGAGAACGGCTTGAGCAGACCTTTCATTTGATACCCTGGATGTCTATGTAGCTCCTACGGGTCGGCCACTAGACCACGAAAAAGACCGTGTGTTCCAAAGCGGCAGAAAAAGGCGCAGCGCCCAGGTGTTACACCATAATCAAGATGGCGCCCGGTGACGTTTCTAGCAACAAATCTTCTTCTGTACATTCTGTTTGAGCATCGTGGGAGGAGCCTGGGAACAGAATTGATTTGCCACTCTTCAGGACCATGGGGACTGAGCCGACCTTCTACGCCTCCTGACTCAAATCTGTTTGATCCCCGACCTCTGCTCTGAACATTGATCAGGTAAATGTTTTCTAACTTCATCTCATCTGAGTCGTGCTTTTGAGTCTTCATATCTGGGTCCAGAGACCAGCTGACCTATTAGGAACCTCTTATCAGGAGACAGTGGTTCAGCGATCGTGAGAAATAAGGGGGGTATCAACATGAAATGGAAGAAGTCAGATAATGAGTGTGTGCACGTCTTCATTCATGTGGGCAGCATCTGATAAAGCAGCTGAGTGGAGGAAATACTGATAAATTCTTTCCAGTTGCGTGTTTCGGAAGTTTATGTCACATATAACTCATCACAGCGGACAGTTAGAGCTCACTGGGTTTTCTTAATGATCAAAAAATACCACAGAGCTTCCTGCTGCTCTCACATCCAGTTTGTTTCACCACCGTCACACAGAAATCAGGCTGCAGCACAAACACAAATGAATTAATGAAGTCATTTTGTTGTTGAAGTGGAGGGGAATTTAGCTTTAGGATCAAATATATACATACACATATATATATACAGACGTGCCCAAATTTGTTGGTACCCTTACAGCTCATTGAAATAATGCTTCATTCCTCCTGAGAAGTGATGAAATTAAAAGCTATTTTATCATGTATACTTGCATGCCTTTGGTATGTCATAGAATAAAGCAAAGAAGCTGTGAAAAGAAATGAATTATTGCTTATTCTACAAAGATATTCTAAAATGGCCTGGACACATTTGTTGGTACCCCTTAGAAAAGATAATAAATAATTGGATTATAGTGATATTTCAAACTAATTAGTTTCTTTAATTAGTATCACACGTCTCCAATCTTGTAATCAGTCATTCAGCCTATTTAAATGGAGAAAAGTAGTCACTGTGCTGTTTGGTATCATTGTGTGCACCACACTGAACATGGACCAGAGAAAGCAAAGGAGAGAGTTGTCTGAGGAGATCAGAAAGAAAATAATAGACAAGCATGGTAAAGGTAAAGGCTACAAGACCATCTCCAAGCAGCTTGATGTTCCTGTGACAACAGTTGCAAATATTATTAAGAAGTTTAAGGTCCATGGAACTGTAGCCAACCTCCCTGGGCGCGGCCGCAAGAGGAAAATCGACCCCAGATTGAACAGAAGGATAGTGCGAATGGTAGAAAAAGAACCAAGGATAACTGCCAAAGAGATACAAGCTGAACTCCAAGGTGAAGGTACGTCAGTTTCTGATCGCACCATCCGTCGCTTTTTGAGCGAAAGTGGGCTCCATGGAAGAAGACCCAGGAGGACTCCACTTCTGAAAGAAAAACATAAAAAAGCCAGACTGGAATTTGCAAAAATGCATATTGGCAAGCCACAATCCTTCTGGGAGAATGTCCTTTGGACAGATGAGTCAAAACTGGAGCTTTTTGGCAAGTCACATCAGCTCTATGTTCACAGACGAAAAAATGAAGCTTTCAAAGAAAAGAACACCATACCTACAGTGAAACATGGAGGAGGCTCGGTTATGTTTTGGGGCTGCTTTGCTGCGCCTGGCACAGGGTGCCTTGAATCTGTGCAGGGCACAATGAAATCTCAAGACTATCAAGACATTCTGGAGCGAAACGTACTGCCCAGTGTCAGAAAGCTCTGTCTCAGTCGCAGGTCATGGGTCCTCCAACAGGATAATGACCCAAAACACACAGCTAAAAGCACCCAAGAATGGATAAGAACAAAACGTTGGACTATTCTGAAGTGGCCTTCTATGAGTCCTGATCTGAATCCTATCGAACATCTATGGAAAGAGCTGAAACTTGCAGTCTGGAGAAGGCACCCATCAAACCTGAGACAGCTGGAGCAGTTTGCTCAGGAAGAGTGGGCCAAACTACCTGTTAACAGGTGCAGAGGTGTCATTGAGAGCTACAGAAAACGTTTGATTGCAGTGATTGCCTCTAAAGGTTGTGCAACAAAATATTAGGTTAGCGGTCCCATCATTTTTGTCCATGCCATTTTCATTTGTTTTATTATTTACAATATTATGTTGAATAAACAATCAAAAGAAAAGTCTGATTTCTATTAAATGTGGAATAATCAATGGCGGATGCCAATTACTTTTGTCAGTTTCAAGTTATTTCAGTGAAAATTGTGCATTCTTCGTTTTTGTGGAGGGGTAGCAACAAATTTGGGCACGTCTGTATATATGTATATATGTATGTATATATATATAATATGTATAATGAAAATTCCTCGTACTTGTAATATACTACTTGCCAAGAAAGATCTTTCTGAATTAGCCTTATTGGCAGCAGCAGAGTCGCTGTTTGCTGTAATATGTTTCTCGGCCATTGGTCCATTTTGTGCAGAACAGTCACATGACGCGTCAGACTTTTATGGGAACGCTCACAGGGCCTGATGGAGTCAAAGATACCACTGTGGTAAAACCCAAAGAAACGAATGCAAAGAAAGCTGGGCTGTGTCCCACCTACTTCATAGTACACCTCTCTGAACACACCTGAGCATACCTGAAACAGCTGAAAACCTTATTATACCTCAACACCTGACACTTCATCAGCATGATACAAAACCTGCGTGAGATTGGAAATGTGTTTTCTTCTGACTGGAACATTAAAATGAGCGCACTAGTGTAAGAAGGTATTTGATATACCTGAAACCTGGATAAAGTACATGTTGCTGCTAATACTGCAGTCCTTGATATTAGTGCATGCAGCCACGTTACTTCTGAATTACAGGTACAACTTTACTTATTCCCAATAAAAGTGGCCACGATTATTTTAGTAATATAGAGAAATTATTAAATATTGACAACATTAAAGTTCAATAATCCATTTGTTAAAGAAACTCTCCTCAGCTGAAAGAGTGGGGACAGACAGACTGAACTCTAAACTGGACTGGTAACCAGTGAAGTGATGGTGAAACAGCTGTGATGTGCGCTCTTTTGTTCATGTGAGTTAGAAGCCTTGCAGCAGAGTTCTGAACAGCCTTAAGAGACGGTGAAGCTCCTTCTTATTCAAACAAGTGAAAAGACAGTTACAGTGATCTAAAGGAGACCAAATAAAAGCATGAATGATCCTCTCAAATTCAACCTCTGACACCAGAGCTCTTAGTTTGGATGTACAGTGTTTCTCAGTTGGAAGAAGCAGATTCTAATTAGAGAGTCCAAAAAACTCTTTTTGTGAGCAGTTTGTTCTGTGAGAGGCCGTTTAGGGGGAAAATACTGAAAATGTTCACACCTCATAAACTGGGTCAGATAAGGTCTTTACACCTTAAATGTAGCTGTACGTCAGCTCTTTGACAGGAAAAAGCAGGCACGATCTTATATCCTGTTTTTAGCTGAGACTTGGTTAGACCCAGATACTTCAGCTTTATGAGTGAAGCTAGCGAGCATCAGAAAGGACGGGGAGCTGCCATTTAGTTTCCTGTTCTTTTGAATATGTGGCTCTTCAGCTGAATTCCTCTCCTCCAGCTAGATCTCTAAATATCTCCAGGCCACCTAAATACTGTGCAGGTCTTTCAGTGTTTTCACCCTGAACAGCCTTTCATACTGGTTTTCTCCCTGATCCAGTAAAGAGATCTGAATTCTAACACGTGCTGTTTAAAGTCCTACCTGAGCTCCACAGCAGCAGCAGCAGCAGCAGCAGCAGCAGCAACAGGTGATCCATGTCCAGGTAGACCGTCTCTCTGGCCGTCCGCCTGCTCTCTGCTCTGATCATCACGTGCTGTCCTCAGTGTAGATCTGTGTACAGGAAGAGGTGGAGCTTTACTGGAACACAGCTCATTCAGCTGGCTTTAGTTTCACAGGGAGGAGAGTCCTCGTCTGACTGAGTCTCTGTCACAGGAGACAGTGAGACCAGACCAGAACACCAGGGCAGACCAGAACACAGACAGTGAGACCAGACCAGAACACCAGGGCAGACCAGAACACAGACAGTGAGACCAGACCAGAACACCAGGGCAGACCAGAACACAGACAGTGAGACCAGACCAGAACACCAGGGCAGACCAGAACACCAGGGCAGACCAGAACACAGACAGTGAGACCAGAACACAGACAGTGAGACCAGACCAGAACACCAGGGCAGACCAGAACACAGACAGTGAGACCAGACCAGAACACCAGGGCAGACTAGAACACAGACAGTGAGACCAAACCAGAACACCAGGGCAGACCAGAACACAGACAGTGAGACCAGAACACAGACAGTGAGACCAGACCAGAACACCAGGGCAGACCAGAACACAGACAGTGAGACCAGACCAGAATACTAGGGAAGACCAGAACACAGAATCAGAATCAGTTTTATTGCCAGGTATGTGTACACATACGAGGAATTTGACTCAGGATTGTACATTGCTCACGATGTGCTTACTTATACAATAATACCATAACACAACAATAAAATAATAATAAAATAAAATCACAAACTACAGAATAAACAACACTAATATACACACTATGATTCTCATAATGTACATGTTGAAGGTGGATATGATATACAGGTACACATACACATACATGCATACATGTGTACATGTACACAGTGTGATGGAGCATAGTGCAAAGGATGCTGGGAAAAATAAATAAGACCTGTGACCTTATGACCTGAGGTAGGTGTATTGGTATACAGTATAGAATATGACATAGTATGAACAGCACTGAAATAGAGAATGGTGAATAAATAATAAGTGGAAACCAGTAAACAGGTGCTGATTAGAGACAGAGTTACTGGGTTATTGCACAGGAATTGTTCCTGACACTGTGAGTCAGAAATCAGCTGTTCATCAGAGTGATGGCTTGTGGGAAGAAACTGCTTCTGTGTCTGTTGATTTTGGTGTACAGTTCTCTGTAGCGCCTACCAGAGAGGAGGAGCTGGAACAGGTTGTGTCCGGGGTGAGATGGATCTGCAGTGATGTTTCCTGCCCGTTTCCTGACTCTGGAAATGTATAAGTCCTGAATGGAAGGCAGGTTGGCACCGATTATTTTTTCTGCAGTCCTGAGTGTCTGTTGTAGTCTGCTCCTGTACTTTCTGTTGGCAGATCCAAACCAGACAGTGATGGAGGTGCAGAGAACAGACTGGATGATGGCTGTGTAGAACTGGATCAGCAGTTCCTGAGCTGGAGCAGGAAGTACATCCTCTGCTGGGCCTTCTTGATGATGGTGTCAGTGTTGGGCTCCCACTTCAGGTTCTGGGATATAGTGGATCCCAGAAACCTGAAGGATTCCACAGCAGACACAGGGCTGAGTATGGTGATGGGGGGCAGAGTGGGGGGATCCTCCTGAAGTCCACGGTCATCTCCACAGTTTTGAGTGTGTTAAGCTCCAGGTTGTTCTGACAGCAACAGAAAGCCAGCTGATCAACCTCCCGTCTGTAGGCCGACTCATCTCCGTCCCGGATGAGGCCGATCACCGTTGTGTCGTCAGCGGACTTCAGGAGTTTGACAGATGGCTCCCCTGAGGTGCAGTCGTTGGTGTAGAGGGAGAAGAGCAGTGTGGAGAGCACAAACCCCTGAGGAGCGCCAGCGCTAATAGTCCTGGTGCTGGATGTGATGTTCTCCAGCCTCTCCTGCTGGAGACACACCGTCGGGGCCAGGAGCCTTCCTGATCTTCTATCTCTGGAAGAGCTGGCGCACTTCTTCTTCACAGATCTTGAGTACAGGCGAGGGGTCAGAGAGGTGGGTTGGCAGTGTGTCAGAGGGGGAAAGTGACTAAAGATGTTTTTGGAGCGGGGGAGATGTGTGACTGGGCTTTTCAAACCTACATTAAAAGCCATTCAGCTCATCTGCCAGTTGTTGAGTACCAGCAGTGTTTGGGGACGGTCTCCTGTAGTTTGGGAGTGTCTGCAGGCCTCTCCACACTGACACAGGGTCGCTGGCTGCAAAGCTGTTATTTAGCTTTTTGAGTGTTCCTAGCCTGTTAGACAGACAGTTAGACTAGACCAGAACACAGACAGTGAGATTTTGAGTTATTTAAATCAAGACATCTGGCTCGTGATGTAAAGAAAATTCTTGGCTTGTGAAACTTAAAAAAAAATAATCTGTCGTTACTTTATTTTATTATTATTCTATCAGTTAGTGAACAGTTACAGTTCTTGCTTTCTGTTGCTTTTGTTTTACAGAATTCTTATTTATGCAATAGACCAAAGCAAATTACTTGGAAGTTAAAACTTGTCAGTAAACCAGATTCTGATCTTTTTAGTTTGGGTGATAAAGCCTGGCTGTTTTTGGAGCTCTGCTCCCTCTGTGCTGGGGGGATTGTGCAATATTGCTACAGTCATTTCCTGTTAGAGCCCAACTGCAGTCTTTGATCTGAGATAACACTAACCTGTCAAAAATAATGCACTAAGCAGGTAAGTACACAGTGTACGCAGTGTACTGCATGTTAGTGTACTCAGACCAGAACACGTCCAATGATGTGTTGCAGTAATCCAGTCTGGAGGAGACAAAGGCCTGGACCAGCTTTTCAGCAGTACAATGATGATTACTGTGATTATTGATTATTGGTTACTGTGATTTTCACAATAACTCTGTCATTACTGTAATTATACGTTATATACACAATGTGTTACTGTGTATTAGTACACTGTAACTGAGCACCTGAAGGGGGCACTTACAGCCTGTGGAGACCCTAAATGGACCTTTGTGAAAACAGCCACAAGATCCAAGAAGAACAAAACTACAGGGGAGGAAAAGAAGGTCAAACGCAACAACATTGTGATTCCATACGTGTCTGGAGTATCAGAGAAACTCAGGAGGATTTTCAACAAACATAACATCCCTGTGTTTTTTAAACCCAAGAACACACTAAGACAGATGCTGGTCCACCCCAAAGACCGCACACCCAAACACAAGAAAAGCAATCTAGTGTATGTGGTCCAATGCAGTGAGGAATGCACAGACCTGTATATTGGGGAGACTAAACAACCACTACACAAACGCATGGCTCAACACAGAAGGGCCAACTCCTCAGGTCAAGACTCTGCAGTCTACTTACATCTGAAGGACAGAGGACACTCGTTTGAGGACCACCAGGTGCACATTTTAGACAGAGAAGATGGATGGTTTGAAAGAGGTGTCAAGGAAGCATCTACACCAGGGTTGAGAAGCCGTCATTGAACAGGGGAGGGGGTCTACGCCACCACTTATCCCCCACTTACAATGCTGTCCTTTCATCACTTCCCAGGAAACTCAACAAACGTAACCTATTGGCCTCAGGTGAAGATACCAACGATGGTCGTTCAGTCTTGGCCTCAGGTAGTCTTAACGACTGTAACGACTGTCGTCACAGTAACCAGGAACACTAACGAACCAGCGGTATCGATGACCCGGGATAACGACCCCACTGAGGTTAAATAGCTGAGTTTCCCTGCCAGTCAGTCAGAACTGAAGAAGTCCTTTGGATGAGGGACGAAACGTCTTCCAGTAGCTTCAACCAAGTCCAGTTGCCCTTCATTTTAACCTCCGTTGGCTAAAAATAATAATTTTTCTGTCTCCGGGTGGAACTCTGACTCCTAAAATATTCTTATTAACCATTTTCTACAAACAGCAGTTTCACATCTTCTTCCTCCTGCTCACAGTCAGGAGAACGTTCAGCGGCTGACGTTTGTCTCGTTGGTGCAGAGTGTGGAAACCACAAGTATAAAAACCTATTTGGTAAGTGATGGCAGGATACGGGTCAGTGAGGTCCGGCTGGAGAGAGACCTCATGTCCCGTCAGCTGATGCCTCCTCGGTAACAGACTGACACACCGGTCTCTCTGCAACTTTCTGAATGCTTCCATCTCACAGAGATAAGACAGGCTGAAACAGTGTAGAGAGGCAAATGCTCCCCTGAAAGCTATACCGACCCCCCCTGCTGGCCCAAGTGGACTGGGCCCCACCCCCCTTCCTCTGTTGTGAGGAATCCAGTGTAGCTCGTCCCAGAAAGGAGACAGGAGCGAGGCGGGGGGGGGTCAACACAGGCCAAACGGGCCACAGAGCTGAAGTTACCAAATTACTGGCAACTAAAACTTTCAGGCAGCAGCCATTCACATTTATTAAGGCGACCTTTGACCTTTTCCAAAAGTCCCTCCCAGGTTTTTTCTTCAAGACGTCATTCCCTAGAAACTCTCCTGTACAGGGAGCTGATGGTTCCATTTGACACGGGAAGTCGGAATATCCAGGATAAAAGTCGGCAACGCCCCCTTAAGTTGGGAGAACCGCCCTGCCCCGACTTTGTGATCCAAGATGGCTGCTCTGAGTATCAACAGTTAGTGAAAGCTGTAGTTTAAATTGTTTGTCAGCACGTCTGTGACTCATACAAGTGTTCGTACACAAAGTGCTGTCCAGCTGCTGTGCGTGGACGTGTTGCTACAGCGTTAAGATTGAGTTAATCCCGCGTTTTTTTAATCACAATAGCAAACCTGGGTAGCTGTAAACAACGGCGGGCAGAGCGAGGTTTTCCGACTTGTTAACTGGAACGCCGTGAACTCGGGTGTGACGTCATTCCCAGCTCCGACCTCCGAGGTGAAGGGAAGGCAGCGTCAGTCAGTGAGTCAGGTGATCCTCACTTGTGATTGGTTGGAGTCAGCTGTGGCTTCATGCTGAAACCTGTGAACAGGCAAAGCGACAGGAAGTGTGAGTCCTCATGTAGCTCTGTGTGTATCTGTGTGTATCTGTGTGTATCTGTGTGTATCTGTGTGTATCTGTGTGTAATACTATATATATGGCATTTCTACA